TCATTTAAACCAATATAAGATTTTTTGTTGGGTTCACTGACTCTTGATCTACTGACTGATGTGTGCCTTTGGTGTTGTTATGAGTAGTTGCATTCTCATGCCTGTGTTGTCTACAGTTTTATGCAATTCTTAGGTAATTCAGTGTAATTGTGCTGCTTGTAACACGGTACATGGCTGAATGTTATGCATCATTCATGCATCTATGTATGTCTTTATTTGTTTTGTTTGTTCGATTTGAAACTTTTACCTTTTGTGATCAAGTTGCGAGGTGATTGTTTCATTTGTACAGCTTCATATATTTGATCCAGGGGAATGTACTTGAAGGAATTTTGTAATGCCGAAACTTTTATTCTCGAAATAGTAGTATTTCAATGGATTATGGACTAGAGCTTATGGAAGTGGAAATTTTTCAGATTGCAGATGAAATAAATGAAATCCTGTTTGTAATTTCCCTCTCGGGGGATTGTGGGCTGGCAATTTTTATTCATGATTTTATTGTAGTCTATGGTTCATGTTTACTGTTATCATGATATGGTGCTTGTATATGCTATCATATACTGTTACTCATTAATGGTCAATTGTTTGCCTTTCTGGTTCAATCTTTGCGCACAGTTTTCGATTAGACTTTATTTTTGTCCGTTTTCTCTGTGCCTCGTAGGTTGCATGCAGAGACTTCCCTCACGCTCGGCATCTTTGTGCTAAATTTCTCTTTGCTTCAACTGTGCATGAGATCCATTGTAGCCAGGTAATTTATTCCTAGACATGATTAAGAGAGAGAGAGCAGTTATATTCCTTTACTGTAAATTTTAAAAAAAAAAAAAAATGATTCAGAACCTTCCTAAAATTTCAGTGCCACTGTTACGTGTGCGACTCAGTGGCACCATGCCCTCACTGGGGGACTGGAGCTTCTAGCGTTGACCACTGCCATGCGACCGATAAAGACGATTACTGGCGGGCCGAGCGTAAACGTACCAAGAATGCCCTGAATCCCGCGCCAACTGTCCCCCACCTCACCAACACCGGCCCAGCTGGACCCATTTTTGCTCAGATATGGGCCCCACCGCGGCCTGTCCCCACCCGGGTCCCCACCATGCCATCGGGCTTCAGCAGGCCCGTCGCTGTCCCGGTCCATCAAGTCCGGCCCCATGTGGCCCCGGTTTACAGGCCGCAGCCCCCCTCGGCCTTGAGGCAAAATCCAATCTTGAGGCAGCCCCCCTCGGCCGCAGCCCCGGTCCTCCCACCACTTGGGTCCCATCGGCCGAGAAACGACCCCATGGCAGGTATCAAGAAAATTCTCAAGGAGAGGCGGCGCATGCCCGTGGCCCCCTCCGTGCACCGTACCACATGCCAAAGAAGTCCCGGGACCCATTTTTCTAATTCTCGGCCGGTCAATGTGGGCCTCGTGAGTTGCAGCCCCTCTCAGAATCCAGTAGTAAGTTCTTTAATGACATGTCAGCCGGGCTTTGGAAACAAATTTGATAATCCGAATTTCCCCAAGACCCACGTGCTTCAGCCCTGTGCTAATAATATTTCGGTTTATGCTGCTAATAAAAATGTACCGGGTTCAAGATTCGTGAGCCCCACCAATCAAAGCGCGGGAAATAACTTTTCTCAACCTCAGCAGGTGCCTTTTGTTGCACCATTTGGTTCTCAGCAAGTTAGTCAGGCTCTCAACAGCATAAATTCGAGCCTGAGTGATTTGAACTCACAGGTTTTGCAGCAATGGCAGAGCGTGTGGCCTGCTGCTGCTGACTCTAATAAGTGCCAGGGTGTTGTTGAGGACAGCAGTCAGATTAAAGGGCCTGTGGACAATTTCCAACAAGGTTCGGTTTTAGCTGATAATTCCTGCTTTCCCGAAAGCACAATAAATTACGACGTGTTGGATTTGCAGTTTGATGATTGGATGTTTGAGAATGAGTCTTTACAGGGAGCTATGGAAGCGCCCGTGTCGCCCCTTTGGAATGCGTTATCACCGGAACCCACTTCATTAGTTGACACCGGTAATTTGTTCGATATTTGAGTTTCTTCAATAGGTTCGGGATTGAAGATTTCCTTTTTTTTTTTTTTTTTTTCTAATGGTTAATGCTGGTAAAATGATGTAATTGGTTTGTTGAACTCTGCTGTGTAAATTATAAGTTCACAGAATGGGTAGGGTGTATGGAATTGCCTTGTATTTTCAGTAAATAAAGAATGATGCCGTTTTTGCATTATTATTATTATTGTTGTTATTATTATTATTATTATTATTATTATTATTATTATTATTATTATTATTATTGTTATTACCTCAAAAAAATAAATTAAGTGATATTTAATTTTATTGGATTATCATTATAACAAGTTCTCATAATTTTTGTGCGAATAAATTATGTTTTGGCTAGTCATTTTACAATAGGCCGTTTGTATTTGCTTTCGGCTGACAATATCTAATTAGACCTGGCCACAGGTCAGGCCCGAAATGGACCGTGGGATCTTGAATCGAGCTTGTTGTTTGACCGAACTGGTTCTAAACTGCATATTATTTAATTTTTTAATTGCCGGGCTAGTTCTAAACCGGAATTGAACCAGCCGTTAGTCTATTTTTTTTTATTATTATTTTTTATTGAATTGGAACGGCCCAGAACCGTCGGTTCAGTGAATCGTCCGTATATGTTTCTGGGCCGATTCAAGGCCCTCAAAATTGTGACCGGGAACCGTCGGTTCCAACCTAGAACCACCACTTGGCCATGTCTATATCTAATGGACATTATTTTTGAAATTGTTTATTTCATTTGATTTGCTTTCCTTTTTTTATTATTATTATGAATCCTGCATTTTGCCACTCCTGGGAACTATTGGATTATTGGCCACTGTAGCTGCTACTTGTTTGTACACAAAATTGTCAATTCAAAACGAGGTTTTTTTTTTCTTTAATTAGACTTAATTTTCAAAAAGTGGTATAGTTAGTTGTTACTGTAATTTTAATTTTATACTAAAATAATATTTAAAAAAAATAATTAAAGTTAATTTGATATAAAAGTATGAGAATAATGGTTAGTTAAAATTATGTGACTGAAAGAATAGTGATACAGTGAATTAAAGTTGATGTAACGTGTAAAAATGATTGGTTGATATTATTTAATTATATTGATTATATTGAGGATATTGAGATTTTGAGTATGAATTGAATTTATCCGTATACAAACACACGCATCCACAATGATTTAAGTCTAATTTTATTTACGTGGCATGTAAATATACTAAATTAGATGACATGGATAAAACTATATAGAGTATCACAATCCACTCCAATTTAAAGAGATCGAGTCTCTACTTGAATCTAACATAAACTTAACGGAGAGTGAATTTAAAGAGATCATGTCTCTACTTGAATCTAACATAAAATTAAGAACAAACCAATCTTTGTTCTTGTTGTCACATCAATAAGACTCAACTCACTTGCACCTACATTAGAGACTATATTTTGCTAGACTGGTCTATTTTCACGTGGTATCTAAATTCTTTTAAATCGACCTAAACTATTGTAAATGCTCAATATTACAAAAATGTTCTATTTGACAAAAAAAATTGACAAAATTTGTATACTTGAATTGTAAATTTTGTATAATAGTCATCAATATTTAATTCAAATTTTGAAGCTCACCCTCTCGAGCTAAATCTTGGAATTAATATGATTCGCTTACAACATAATAATTTGGAAGTTGAGATGTGCAATATACGTATGTGGAAAATAAAAAATGATTTGATCACAAGAACAAGATAGAATACAATCATCACATTTGTTTACACACTCGACCACAATCACCATCTACGGGTTTTTTCCCCCAACAAACGAGTCAAAAATATAAAAAAATAAAAATTATAGTATAACATTACACAAAGAATTGCAAATTTGCAATACATAGGCCAACCCTTTACTACTAAAACAAAATATACAAACCACACAAACAAAAATACTCAAACCAATACAACAAATACAACCAATCAATAATCACGAAAGAGTCGAATCATTGGGTAGCATCACTTGGGGTGCCAGTCCTGGCCTGAGATATCCGGTTCGCGTAAATCGTCACCAGCCGTAGTTGTGTGCTGTTGAGCCCCTCCAAATACGGTAAAAATGCTTTTCCGAGCATGATATATATGTCGACCAGACAGAAAACAACGGTCTGCAATCCCACGAAAAATGCGCGTAAGTTTCTATGGGTTTTAAATATCAAGGAAAAAAGACATCCATAACAGTTCGGTATAATAATGTCATTAAAAATTATTTAGTTTTTTTTTTTTTTTCTTCATAATTATATCAAACCATTAGTCTTAATGTTTCTTTCCTCGATATACTTAAAAGGTTGTGTATAGATGGTATGTATAAAACATTTGGAGAGATGTTAAAAAACATGTGAAATGAATTTCAAGTATTTTGATTTTTAAATGATTTTATTTGGCAAGTAAAATATCAAAAGGACGATTGTTTTACCTTGCGAACATCTGCACTCTGGTTGCCAAATGCATCAAAAAGATGCGGCAAAAATGAGGGCAATTGAGCTGTCAGCTCCTCTTGGGAGAGCCGGCCAACAAGCTGTATAACGGAAGGGCATAATAAGACGATACATAAAGGTTCAGGGTTGACACACAATCAAGTTCAACATAAATCATAGAAACTCTCACGAGCAACATTCTTGAGCACTGATCCAAAGTGAAAGTGCACGGATCGAGCTTTGTTTGGAAACACTTCTCAAATGGACTTTTAGGAAAGTGCTCCCAAACAAGCACTCATTATACCAAATGGACAGTAAAGATAAATTGATCTCAAAGCCGATATAGCCCCAACTTTACTATTTGCGAATACAAAAGGAACCTTCTATAAACAAGAAACTAACAGCAAACAAATAAAGAAAACAGAAATTTGAATGAAGATGGTAGCAACGAAAATAGCAAAAATAGATTGATAGTACTTCACATATCGGCTACTGGATAATAAGATTACGAAGCATAGCAAGTAAGGAGATATCTAAGAACTGCAAGACATGCTCTTAGTTTATTAGGCAATAATTGAGGACACCATAAAGTTAACAATATATTGCAAAAGCACCAACATTAATTGAAACGTTAAACATTTCTTCAAAAGAGAAAACAAGGAACTAAAAACCATTATATGCCACTATACTTTCCCAGGAAAAAGGAAGACTAGAAAAAGGAGGAGCCTACCTTCGTTAAACAATTAATGCATGTGACGAGAGTTCTTTCATCTTCATCAACAAGTAAAGGAACAATAACCTACAAATACAACAGAGAGATAATCAGGGCACGGTAGCTGAATAATATTGGATATAGATTATTTTGGAAAAAAAAATTGTTTATTTGAATTAACTGAGTTAGAGTGGAGAAAATTGTTTTGGTGGAAGAATGAATTTATTTTGAGTTTTGAATGGATATGAGATAAAATGTATATATTAAAGTTGTTGTGATATAAAAATAGTAAAATAATGATTGCAAATGATTGGTAGCTAAAAATATGTGAGTTGATGAATAGTATGTGCTGATAAGATTGATGAGAAAAATCTTATCAATCATCAATCATCAACATACCCAGTATATTCCCAAACAGGTTGGGGTCGGGGGGGTCAGTTGTACGCAGACCTTACCCTTGTAATTATACAAGGAGGCTGTTTCCATAGCGACCCAAGGTGCATTGCGTCGTTTGATATATTTTTTCTAGAAACTTCACTAATAAAAGAAGCACTAGAAAAGTGGGAATGAATGAACAGTATGTTTTGTAGGAAAAAATTGTACCCAATCACATGACTCTTGAAAACAAAAATCTGGTGAGACAAAACCAGATATTAGTTATGACCAATCGCATGGAAAATAGCAGTGGTACTCACATCTAAACATCTTAACGGGTCGTACTGAGCCAAGACTAAAGTCAAGCAATTCTCTGATTCACTGGAAACCTGATAGAGATTAATCCTTTTAGACTGAGAAACAAAAAGTACGAAGAAACTGAGATAGCTTAGTTGAAAATCATTTACTTTAGGAACAACATCCTTTGTCGCATGAAGCAGCTTGTCAATCACAATTTCAACAGAATCCTCCATAGCAACTTTCTGCAGAAGTAAAAAATCCATTAGAAGAAACGTATCGCACCAGGATCTGGTTTATAGCCACTAAAATGTACAATTATTGACAGCAAACCTGATTCTTAACCATTTCAACAATTATTGCAAGGGCCAGCTCGCGTATTGATGAGTCAGAATTATCCATCACTTCAAGTATAGTCGTTAATATCTGGTTAAAGTACTGACATATGGCAGATTGACTTCATATTAGATTAGAATTTATTTATTGTTTGGAAAAAATAGAAGCAAAAGTATTTTCAAAACAGTACTGCCACTTCCGAAGAGCTTTACCAAGCAAATATAAATATATGATGACAAGAAAACCCACCATTCAATGACATTGAAATCAATTACCAAACCATTCAATGACATTGAAATCAATTACCAAATGCAATGGTACTGCTGATCATTCGTATGCATAAAGGAACATAAATAAATATATACAGGAGTGCATTTGTCAGGTATGTTTCCAGATGCTTTCTTCATAACTCCAACAGACGCTCCTAAACATAGCAGAGTTGAAGAGTTTAGTTTTGGATATGGACTATACCTTGTTCCAAATAGACTGGTCGTTGGATATGGAAACTTCGATCAACTGCTGAAGTGCATCACGCTTGTTTTCTGAAGGACTCTCCTCATTAGAAATCTATTCAGAATAGGGACATGCACAAAATAACATGAGAAAATAGGCTATGGGAGACATACATATAATAACCAAAAAAAACAAGATAGATGGAAAACTTCCAGAATGTAATTGCAACCTTAAGGTTCTTTCACCAGAAGACATTGAAAATAGGCAAAAGAAAAAAAAGGGGGAGAGAGAGAGAGAGATGCATTGCAAAGAGCAAAACAGTAGCAAGATAAAAATATATTAGAAACTCACCAAATGAAGAATCTGGGGAATACTGGGACCTGATTCAGCAGTAGCATTTACTTTTATATCTGGGAGTTTATGTTTATTTAGCATCAGTTCAGAGGACAAGTTATCAACCTCAAAGTCAGAAGACTTTTGCACATGATCAGATCCAATCAGACCATTGATGTCAAAATGTGGTGTTGTAGAACCCTCAACATTCGCATGGCTATCCATTGACCGAGCCCCGATAATATCAGCTGTTGTATTGGAGTCATAATTCAAGGTTTTATAATTTGAGGTAGGAACATCAGGCTTAGAATTGATCTCCAGAACCCGATGATTCAGATTCTCATCATGGGACGCATCATCAGATGTTAAGTTACTGATAGAACCTGTAATATGAGATGCATCTTGAAGAGAACCCCACTTCCTACCACCATTACTATCAACAGAAGCTGAATGATATTTTCCAAACAAATGGCTTTTCTTCGCTGCTCCAATATAACCTTCTTCGGATGAAGTCCCCACCACATCAGATGGATCGTATGAGGACTTCCCACGTCTATCTTTCTTGCTTTGTAGAAAGGTCATCAAGTCAACTTCTATGCGGGGGGTATACTGCTTCAATGCTCGTCTTAAGGAATTCTGATCTTCAACAGATAAGCTAAGGATAAAATTCAACACCGCTGCCGAGTCGTAATGAGTATAAATCGATATTATGCATGTAATGGCTGCTTCTTTCAGTTTTGTATTTTTATCATGGACCAATGGTGCCAATTTTGCAAGCCACAGGTTAAGAATGCCCGGATTAGCAGAACCCTCAGAATTTGGTGCGTGCTTGTTAAATGAGCCTATAGCAAACTCAATAACTGCCAATTTGGCTTTAGGGGAGCGCTGTTCGTCCAACGAACGAAGCAAAGCTGGCAGAAGGGAATCTGTACCATATGTTTTCCCAACAATGCCCAAAGTAGTCGAGCAGGGTTGCCTCACTACTTCCTTTGGATCAATCAACCGCGAGAAAACATGGGGTAGAATCCTTTCCATGTAACTCTCAAATGGTTTTCGACAGGCAGGGATAAGGTCTGCAAGAGTTGAAAGGGCTGCCTGTGCAACTTTATGGTGGGGATCATCCAAATGCTGGAAAAATAGCTTCATGACCTTCTCAAAACTTTGCACGACTTCTTGGACGCCTCTCGTGCCTTGCTGTATGAGAGAATGAACAAAATTAAATGCAGCTACCCGAGCACTCCAGTTGGAACTAGAATTAAGGCCCTCACTCAAAGCATCGTTAAGAGAAGCTGGGCCATCCGAATAACTCGATAAGTCACCCAAAGAGAACTGACTCTCATCAAAGCTCCTTCTCCTTCCTGCAGACATTCGTCCAGCTGCATTCTTTCTTAGAAGAGGGCGCTGAAAATTCGGTATTTGGTTCTGCGAATCCCTATATTGTGTATCTAAATAATGCTTATCAACACTGGACGTCATACTTCGCCTTATATCCCTAAGATCAGAATTTTCATCGACTAATCCTCTTTCTGGTACCTTCTCGGAACCTCTCTTAGCCGCGTAAGAATATACAGGCAGAGGCTCACTTCCCACACTGCTTTGATACGTTGATTTACCTGAGAGTTTAGAAGCCTGAAATTGAGTTTTAACATCAGGCATCGCCAAACCACCGTTGCGAATATTTCCTTTAGAAAGACCAGGTAAAGAATCTACTATAGAATTTGCAAGACTGCTAGAAGCTGGAACAGCAAGGGGAAATGGTGGGTCACGAGACGATGGTGGGTCAACTCCTGCACTAGGGCCAAGAATATTAATAGCTGACCACATAATGAAACTCAAGATAACTAGGTTTAGAAAAATTCCATATAACAATTTGCCTCCACAACAAAATATGTCAAACCAAAAGAAAAATAGTTTTGGTGAGCACAATGTACTAATGAGTTAGACGAGAGGAAGTAATAGGAGAACCAAATACAGAACAAATACCTAGGTCCAAACTGGATGATCGGCTTTTCCCGGACATATCCAAACCCCTCAGCATACTTTCTATAGCACTGACCTTCTGTTTGCTGGAGTGCAGCACACTTTCCAGACTACGATCTGTACCTTTACCAGAAGCTTTGGTTTGTGAGAGTAGTAGACCGGACGACAGAGAAGATCCTGAATGTATGCTTGAACTTCTATCCATAGCAACTATAGCAGAAGTTCCATATCCAGGAATGTTTGAAGGTGCAGATGTCTGAGAGGTAAATGACATGTTCGAACTCCTGTCACGAAAGGAAGGAGAAGCATGTCTTCGGTGCATTCCTCCATCTTCATCATTTATCACCTAGACAAGCATCGAGTTTCAATCATAATTCTAACAACCTTTAAAGGGTGCCGAATGCAAGTGGGCAATAGAATGTGCGTACCCTTTGGACAACAGGATCAAAGGACAAAAACAAGCGTCGAGAGCGCTCAGGCCATGTTTTTGCAAACATTCTATAACAAGTCCTTGCAGTAGATCGTACCTGGCAAGTTTAATGGGTCACATTATGGACCCAAGGAGAAGATAAAATATAGCAGTGATTGAAAAGATAAATAATATTTAAAACAAGATACTCATACAACCAAATGACAATTTACAAACAGGTGATCTGCTCATCGCCAAATGAAACATAATACCCATACCTCACTCATTGCATCTGCAACACAACACCTAATGAGGTCTGCGTACAGGTCAGCCGAGCGATGTATTTCAGGAGCATCAGCCCAGTGTTCAAGGATCAAAAGTGCATACTCACAACACCTAATTCAGGGAAAGAAAAAAAATATCATTAGAGAAACATTTATAAACATGCCTAGAATCCCAAAGGATAACAAAGCTGTACCTCGCTCGGAGTACAGCATTACGGTCATTCTTTGCAGAATCAACTATCCGAGGAAGTGACCGAGAAACTTTGCAATTGCGCAACATCTGAAAATCGTACTTATCATGATACGAAGACGAGATGTAACGTGAGGGCAAACCAACAGAGTAAAGCATAACAATTACCGTTTTTATGCAGTTATCAGCCGATTCAGCTATTACAAGAACTGTTATCACAACAAGCTTGAAAAGAGCCTGGATCACAACGAACAGGTGAGAAATGAGAAGTTCCATATCGGATAACAAACAATATTTTAAAGAACATCTCTCACCGGAATAAACATCTCAGCACATGCTTCAAAGTCCCCCAAGAGATCTTTAGATAAGAAGCTTAATAGATGGCATGCCTGAAAGAGAATAAAAATGAAGCAGGGAACCACAAAAATTAAACCTTCTGCAAAATAAATTGACACTGTGAAAATCTAAGGTACACAAAGTCATTGAGTAGCTTTCAGAACAATATATCATATATCCAAATACGTAAGTTTTCACTGTAATTATATGTATAAGCCAACTGTAGCTTGAGCGCTTTGACATGATAAATATCACCAAGGTATAAAGGTTTGGAACTACAGAATGTGCATGAAAGGGAACATTATAGATACTTGAGAAGCCTTTTCAGTTTCAACAGGGTTAGAAATTTGTATAAACTTGCCCATACGGCTAAATAAAATATTGCATATCAGGTATCAAGTGCATATCAGGTATCAGGAATATACATCCATGTAGACCCAATGTGATATAAGTATGACTGCAATTTGAGAGAGTGCAACAAACAATCAAATTACAGCCAAACCTGCTTCACAATGCTGGATCGTCTATCAGATAGTTGTGTGGTCAAAGGAGCAACCAGTTGCTTAAGAAGTCCAAGAAAGCAAGAGTAATCAGTTGCACCTGATATGACAGAACCAACCGATAAATATTTTCATTCAGTGATCCCAAAGACAAAATGTAAAAAGATTCCATAAGCAAGCATATCAAGAATAATTTAAAACAGACGCATGAGAAACATAAAATCATTTTACAATCAGATAATGTAAATGTGTGAAACTATAAGTTAGCCCACCCGTTCCAGTACATCCTGCGGTAAGGATTAGGACAATATAGACACAAAACAAAAGACGCAGCGTTAACATGAAAAATCAAGAAATAAGAAAAGAGCTTAATGCCTTATATAGAAATAACCTCCAATAACAAGCCCTTCAACTCTTTGCATAGCAGCAATACGGATAGACCAATCTTGATCAGGTACGAGGGTGGAAGCAATCTTCTCAAACTCCCTGATAAGTTCCTTTTCTGAATAAACTTTAATTGGTTCAACAGGTCTCTCTGTGATATCACCATCCGCTGATCAGAGTGAGCAGATGACCATGTTAGCAAAGCTGAATTACTGAATTCGGAACTGCAGATTGGAATTTCTGGTGTCTTATAAACAGTGGTTCACATTATAATGGTACGTTGCCACCATGATCTTAGCAGGAATAACTTGACAGGCACTTAAAATGCATGTACACTAAATTTTATATACTCCAGCCTCTGTGCTAACCTCCAAAAAGTGACACCTCACGTGTTGAGCTTCTGGCTTTTGGGCTGCTTTTTTTGGTATTAAGGTTTATAGGCTTAACCTCGCTAGACGTGTAAGTGCTTGTAATTGCATCTGCAGAGCGAACCTTTGGCTCAATTTTCTCCAATCTGGTATTAATATCTTTTAGCTGCAACCATTATCATTTCAAAGAGCAGATGAAAATCAATTCAACCATCTGGAGTTCTTTATCATATACTAAATTAGTACAAAAAATTAATTCTACCGTGTTGTCATGAGTGCTTATCACTTAAAGATCAACATAACATGGAGTTTTGTGTTTACCATTAATGTAGGTAGTTGATGCCGGTTCAGTTCTTCACGGAACTGAGGTCCTGCATGAGTATACATCTCCTGGAGAGAAAACACAGGGAGAGGAAACAACAGTCAGATGAGAAGAAAGTGGCACTTGAGATCTGGTGCCATGTTGATTCTCGCATGGGTATAAATTCCTAGATAGTTTAGCATCAGACGAATTATTTGCTGCTGAAAATTATACACTAACATAAACTGCTAACAGTATAGATTCTCACACTAAGACATCCAAATACCATATGATAAAACCATTGGAAAAGCATGAGAGCCGCAACATATTCCATTCATTTGCAGACACCTACGATACATGGTTAATGCACTATTTAACGAAAATGGTCTCAGTTCGGTTAGGCAACAGACAACTCCTCATTAGTTCACTTGACAATACAGTCGGTCTTCCAAAACATGCAGGAAATCAGATGATTCCTAGATTATATCTCCCAGGGCAAAAGCAATTTTTTTCATCTTTAGTAAAATATTAAAGAAGGAAAAACTTTTAACCATCACTGATAGTTGTATTAAACTGTACTGGGAATTAAAGTAGTGCTAGATATTGGAGACAGAAAAAATTAATCAAAATAACCCTAACCTCAATACATGAAATGGCTGCATCCCTCACACCAGAATTTGGATCACTCAGCATCTGCAAAATCTGGCATGCAAGAGAACAACACATAAGATCAACAATTTAAATTTATTTATTTATTTATTTATTGAACAACTATGTATGACCACCTATCTTGGTCTATAACTTAACAAACATGTGAACAGCATGCCCGAAAAAAATAAATGGTTCCAACATACAGGTGGAAGAATGGCACGTTGAAGAGGTAATTCAGTAGATGCAAAGAGACTACTAGCCGATGTCACCGTACGAGCAAATTCTTCTCGAACTCTCCAGCTTTTGTGAGTCCAAGCATAAGACCCAGCTCTTTCAACAATGATTGTTGGTGAAGAAATCTGCATCAACATCGAAACCTCAGTTCAAAGAAATAAACATTTCCTAGCAATATACCAAAGAGATAAGTAGTCCATAAGCAAATTGTGAATGTCGAGACGTCAGAATACATAACTAGGTAACATCATAGTTCAAGTCTTCAAGAGGAGGAAACATATATTACTTAATATAACTATCACTGTTTTCCAATCTGAAGGCTATTGAGAGACCCCAAGAATGTGCACGGATAGCCATGAAGCAAACATTCCTGAAATACTTTTCTAAAACCTATTTATCCAATCACATAGTGATGCAGAGAGCACATTATATAAAAATAATCACTAAATTCATCCATGCAGATGAACTTATCTTACACATAAAGGCCAATATGAAAGTACTGCTTCAGGAATTGCAAACAAGAAAAAAGTACAACAAACTTCAGTTAAAGGTATGAAACAAATTCTGCACAGAAGACATATCCGCAGTTTCGAGCCCCATTGATATAAAATTGAATTTACACATAAAATCAAACCATTCAGTATCAGGGCTATGATCAAATACAAGAGGACAGAACCAAAACGACTTAAATTACTGTTTCTCATTATATTTTCGCTGGCATCCATAAAATTAGGTCAGTACATGAACAGTCACTATAGGTTCCAATCAGTAAAGCAGCTCAGAAATGATGGAATCTGATATCATTACCAAAATAAATCTGATCACTACGGGGTAACCGTTTATGTATGAACAAGAACATTAAAAAACACGCGACGTTTTCCAAGTAAGCATCTACAGTACACACGACACCGCTCACATTAGCGAGTCAACAAGTCACACTTACTTCCATGAGCGTGAGCAAGAGCCTCCTGGCGGCATCCCTAACCGGCTGTTTTGAATCCCCCAACCTCTCAACCACCGCCGGAACCAAAGCATTGAAATGCAGCTTGAAGTGATCGCCAGAGAGCACGACGGCGGATGCGAGTGCTTGAAGCGCGCCCTGCGACACCCGAAAGTTGCCGTCGGTCAAGAGATCTAAGCATACATCGACCAGTGATGTCACCTCCGACGGCGACAGAACCTTTCTGGAGGCTTCAAGGAGTTGGTAGAGACGCTCGACCCCGGCCATCCTTTCCTTGGTGTCCTTGGCACGCGCCAGCTCCAAGGCCTCCTCCATGCCGGCGGAAGAGGTAGCCTCCGGTCCTCTGTGGATTACGATGAGGATCGTCGGGGATCGGATCTGGCTTCTGCGGCGGGCAAGTGAAGGTGGTAATCGGACAGTGTGGATGTAGAGAGAGAAGAAAATAGAGAGAAAGGGGAAAGTGTTTTTCTAAATCGGTGGAGCCCTCTTAGAAAGGATTATAATCATTTTTTAACTTTTAAAGTGGGTGGCGGTTGAAATTTGTTTTACTGCGGTTAGTTTCATTGGTCAAGTTTAGTCCGTAAAACAAATTATTAAAATTATAAATCTATATATTATTTTTCTTACATACATGTACATATAAATAAATATAAATAATAATTTACATTTAAATTATATACTAAAAAAAGCTTAGTAATATTATGTCGCAGTAAATATTTGTCAGATAAATATATTAATGTCGTTTTAATTTTATAATTTTAATAATTATAAAGTAGAATCGGTTAGAAAGTCTTTCTGCTCTCATGTGTCAACTAAAACAAATCGATCTTGACTGCACCTCTAACTCAAGTCAATCAACCCGAAAGTATCCATTTTTGCGGGCGTAGAACGCTGGGATGTGAGTGAACCAAAGCAACAATATCTCGATCGGTTCTAGGAAATTGAGATGATCCATTATAAGCAGGAGCGGCTAGAAAGATTCTATTCTCAGAGGAATAGGGGTTGTTCTAAGTCGAATACTGGAAAGGAGGAGCTCCTCGATGACAATGACTAGTCAACCAACTGGAAGGGCACCATCATCCGACGAAGACAAAGCCCTTGCTCTAGACCGCTTGGCTAAAGGGATGGAAATCGGATTGATTCTATGCTCGTCGAGCCTTAACTTAATAAATTATATATATTTTTGCCCAATATGAGACCAAAAATATAGGGAAGAAGTCGGATTTGTTCTTATCATCAACTACGTACTATACATTAGAATTATGAAGTTGTATTTCTTTTATTATATATCTCTGATTAATATTTCATGATGGTCCTCTGTGTAGACAAATTATTAAATATTGAGTATGTAGGAAACATTCAATTGTCAACTTAAAAATAAACAAGCATTTTTTTTTTTTTTGTTTGTAGTCGGGCACGGTATCCGGAGCTATGCTCCAATTAAGTGGTGGGGGTGAGTTTTCCAATAAGGGTTTTCTGCATCCACAAGGACTCGAACTCGAGACTTTGCTTAAGGGATATCAAGTTGCTTACCACTTGAGCCAACCTTGTTGCTAACAAACAAGCATTTGAACTTTGACATTTCCTATTGTTCAGCTCCAATTTGATACAACCACACTAAATAGTAAAGACATATTTACCCTTGCTTTTTTATTAACTACTCTCTCCTATTTTTTTTGTAAATGTCATTCTAGCTTTATCAACTATTTGCTAAATAAATGTCGTTTTGGATTTTTTGTACATATTTTTCCATTATTACCCTCATTTAGCTCATAAATACATTACGTCTTTTCATATTCACTCTTCGCTTTTTCTCAAAACATTCATCTATATCTTCATTAAATAAGTTTATTATTGACAAAAAAAAAATATAATTAATGTGCAACTTCTCAAAATGACATCTATTAAAAAATAGGAGGTAGTATTATTTATAATTTTATAACTCATATTGTTTCTCAATATTCATGTACTTCATCATGCCTTTTCTACTTCTATAGTAAAAAAATGATCCTTTCTCTTCTTTTTTTTTTTTTTAAAGAAAAAATATTGAGCACACAAGACCTACAATTCAAAATTGACATCATTCATCCAACCACACCACAATAAAAACAATATTAATCAAGCTTATGATGACTAATCCTACATCACAATCTCTTGGGATGTTTAGAATGGATATATATAAGTTATAACCACTAGTGCATGATAAGGCTAATAATATTATGATAGCATAAAGAAGAAGAATAACAACCTCATGAAAAAGCCAGGCCACCCACCACTTTCCTTTGGGACATCATCACCAAAGGAAAAGCATTCAATTAAAGCTGGCTACATTCACTTTACAATGTACAATAATAATATACTCCCTCATATTTATAATAATCGTCGTTTTGAGTAGTTGCACAGTTATTAAGAATATTTTTTTGCTAATAATAACCCTCATTAATGAGGATATAGATGAATGTTTTGAGAAAAGATGAAGAGTGAATATGAAAAGACGTAGTATATTTATTAAATAGATGGAGATAATAATGAAAAAATATATACAAAATATCCAGACCGACATTTATTTTGTTAATAGTTGATAATGCCAAAATGACATTTAAAATGAAGAATAATGTTCTCCTACTCACGGTGGGCACATGTTAATATGTCCACCACTTATGTGACATGCACACATTGGTTGTTAATATGTTCAAAAAAATACATCACCAATGTGTGCATGTCACAATAAGCGGTGGACATATTAACATGTGTCCACCGTGGGTAGGTGAGCATTACTGTTAAAATGAATAGGAGGTAGTATTAATTAAGCTCTTAAGCTGCAATTAGTTAAGGATTAGAGTGCCTTTACAGCTTGGCATCCCATGGTCTTCTGACAATTCAAGTGTTCCAAGGTAAAAAAACAATGATTTGTGTTATTTCGGTTGAAAAATGCACCCTAAGTGTTTGGAACATGCTGTCATTTATTTAATGTCGTTGCTATTAATTTAATTAATAAATTCAACGTTTTGATATGATAGATATATTAATGAATGAAAATAAATACATAGTATTAGATAGAACAACTATTACCATCGAATTAAACAACTAAATATTGGAGATTTGTCCGCACGAACTAACACCTAAATTCTACTAACAGACTAGAAATTACAAAACTAAATTAACTTACACCAAACTTACACAAGAGATGACTAAAAAACCTGAATAATAAAGACTAACGATTTTTTTTTTTATTAATAAGTAGTACAAATAAAAAACTACTAATATCTAAATAGTGAAAAGAAGTTTTCTTGTACATAAAAATTATATATTCAGACAATTGAGAAATGAAAAAAATAAATTATTTTTTGCACGTGATCAATATGTGTAGTGTACGAGGAAGTGTACAAATACAAACTGTATGTAACATGTAATAGATGCAGAAGCGATTAAACAATTTTTTCTTCAAGAAATATCACACTTCTCTCATAACCCTTTTACTAGTTAATGGTCACGCGCACGTAATGTAGTATAATTTTACATAGTCCCGCTCACCTGTCTATGGTAGGCAGTGCCTATCACTTTATTTTATATGAAAAACGTATTCTGAGAATACGTTTTTCAATTAACGTATTCTCAGAATATGTTTTTCATATAAAACATAGTGGTGGGCACTGCCCACCGTGGACAGGGGATCGGAATTTTAACTTTACAAGACTAGAAATCTCTTATAATCTTATCGTATTGTCTCTACATTCGATTTCCTGAATTATATGGCCAACACGTGGACTTAAGAGCTTAAATTGGATCCTTTACATGCACGACCATTTTAATTGCAGTTCGACAGATATTGTTTTAGTAGATCTATATCGTCAATATTCAGCTTGGTATGAAAAGATCCGCGACCAACTCGATTCGACATTGATCTGGTTTCTTCGCCGGTAAATGACCGTCAAGACCTGCAAAAACTCGACACGGGAGGAATTTTCCTGCGAAAAGTCTATGATGCTTAAGTCGGTGAGATGTAGAAGATTATGAGCAATATGCATGTAAGTGTATCGAGAGTGTGTAATGTTATAAAAGGCATAACTCACTCCCTTTTATATTGAGATGTTACCTTGTTGCCAAATGTTGTCCGAGAACATATTTTACAAATTTACAAATTAAACCATTCTATTATTTTAAACAACATATATACATAGGTCTTATTCCATAAATTTCTAATCGATTTTAAAATAATAGTGGTTTATATAAATCTTACTAGTACAGAGCCCGTGCGATGCACGAGGTGCACAATTTTAAAGCCATTTATCCAGCCTTATAATTATATAAATGAACAAAGAAAAATATACGGAATATATATAGTACGTGACATGTGCGAGGCACGGGATATATTTATTTGGAGATTATTATACTATAAGATGCAATATTCAATAAAAGTTTTACAATTCACGAAAATAAATATAATTAATGTAAATATCTAAATACATACACGATATGTGGAATAAACAAACCAAATTGCAAATCTGAAAATATAATTTTTAAAAAAAATAGAAAATATATTTCACTAAACATGTACAAAATATCTAAATAAATACACGAAAAAAAATTATATACGTTTCAAATTTTGAAATAAAAAAAAAAAATCAAAATTTGGCTTACAGCTTTATCATGTATAACCAACTCGAGATATGATTTGTATGTGATGCCCCAGTCTTGGAAAAACATTCTCACAATTCGAACTTTCAGCATAGGTCTATTAGACCTATTGACTTGTTTGATTAACCCAAATCCTTGATTGATTGTTTTGAATAAAATACTGATTGGGGATATATTTTTTGTTCGCACGAGGTTGATAGTGAGGAACATGATGACTCGATATTTTGAGATTTGTAATTTATAATGGGTAGAGTAGATATATATTGTTGTTAATATTTTTATTAGAAAATTTGAATTTGAATCTACAAAAATCGGTTTGAACAAAATCAGAACTGATTTCTATACAATTAGATAATAAATAAACAGAGCCCGGGTTTTTTAACCATTTTTTGAAGGAAAAAATGAAAAATAACCATGTTTTAATAAAGAATGAAATATAGCCATTTTAGGGATTAAAAGTACACTTCTACCCTTATTAATGTTTTAACTATCAAAGATATTAAAAATAAAAATAAAAAAAGGGTGTAAGCGCTGCGACCGACCTTCATCTCCATTGTTCTCTCCCGTCTGTGCGGCTCCTGTAACAAAAAAAAAAAAAAAAACAAAAAACAAAATCACTCACCATTGTAAAAAAATCTCCTATCATCTCCATCAGGCCATTTCCACAGTAAAAAAAG